CATCATCACGGCCGCCGTCGCCATGGACGAGGAGAGGCCACATGCTGAGCCGGCCGAGGAGGTCGAGGAAATCCCCCTGGACACCTCCCGGCCGGAGCGGGTTCTCAGGGTCGGAAAGCAACTCCCCCAGGACCAACGAGACGCCATCCTCCTCGTCTTACGGTCATACGCTGTTGTCTTCGCGTGGGGCCCGGACGACATGCCAGGCATCAGCCGCCAGGTGATCACTCACCGGCTGACCGTCGATCCGGCCTCCGCGCCTGTCAAATAGAAGCGGCGCTACTTGTCCGCCGACAGGCGGGACTTCGTCAAAGGGGAGGTCGCCATGCTCCTCTCAATCAAACACATCAAAGAGGTGAAGTACCCGACATGGTTGGCCAACGTCGTCCTCGCTCAGAAACCGTCGACGTTCAGAATGTGTGTTGACTACACTGACCTGAACAAGGCATGCCCCATGGACCCGTTCCCTCTCCCCAACATTGATCAGTTGGTGGACGAGACGGCGGGGTGCGAGTTGATGTCGTTTCTCGACGCTTTCAGAGGGTACCACCAGATCTCCATGCATGAAGATGACGCCGAGAAGACGGCATTCATGACCCCGGAGGGAATCTTTTGCTATCTCGTCATGGCCTTCGGACTCAAAAACTCCGGCGCCACCTATACTAGGATGGTGGCCAAGATCTTCAGAGCGGTCCTTGGCCGGACGATGGAGGCGTACGTCGACGACATGATCGTCAAGAGCAGGCAGGCCACCTCCCACGCCGACGACCTCCGGGAAATCTTTGAAATAATGAAGGAGTTCAGGCTCCGTCTCAACCCCAAGAAGTGCGCCTTCGGCGTCCAGGGCGGCAAGTTCCTCGGCTACATGGTCAGCCGGAGAGGCATCGAGATAAACCCGGAGAAGACGCAGGCTATCATCAACATGGAGCCGCCCCGCAACGTCAAAGAGGTACAGCGACTGACGGGGCGCCTGGCGGCCTTAAACCGGTTCCTCTCCAGGTCAGCCGAGAGGGCACTCCCCTTCTTTCAGATCATGCGGAAAGCCAGCAGCTTCAAGTGGACGACGGAGTGCCAGGAGGCATTCGACGAATTGAAAAGGTACCTGTCGTCCCCACCCGTGCTCTCCAAGCCCAGAGCCGGCGAAACCCTCTTCTTGTACTTAGGGGTGAGCACGTCGGCCATCAGCTCCGTGCTCATCCGTGAGGACGAAGGGGTGCAGAAGCCCATCTTCTACATCAGCAAGACACTCAGGGAGGCCGAGCTCAGGTACTCCCCCATTGAGAAGACGGTGCTGGCCATCGTCCACACGGTGAAGAAGCTGGGGCACTACTTCCAGGCCCACGCCGTCCATGTACTGACCCAGCAGCCTCTCGGCGCACTCATGAGGAGCCCCACCAGCTCCTCTAGGATGGTGAAATGGGCAATTTTCCTCAGCCAATTTCAAATTGAGATCAAGCCAAGGCCATCCATCAAAGGGCAAGCCTTGGCCGACTTCGTCATCGAATGCACAGCAAGGGAGATGGCCGTCGCCAACCCCGGGCCGGAGCAGGATGATACATGGACCCTGTTCACTGACGGCTCGTCGGCCGCGAAATCATGCGGCGGCGGCGTCGTCCTCATATCCCCTGAAGGATTCAGAGCTTACTATGCCATCCGCTTCAACTTCAGGGTATCCAACAACGAAGCCGAGTATGAGGCCCTCCTCAGCGGTCTCAGACTCGCGGCCGGCCTCAAGGCCAAGCACCTCAAAATCAAGTGCGACTCCAAACTGGTGGTGGGCCAGGTGGAGGGATCGTACGAAGCAAAGGAAGGCCGGATGAAGCAGTATAAACAAGCGGCGGAGGAGTTGCTAAAAGCGTTTGAAACCCACGAGATCACTCAGATCCCCAGGACCGAGAACGCCGAAGCCGACATCCTCTCCAAGCTTAGCACGGACACCCCGGAGCACATCTCCCAGTTGGCCAGGATCGAGGAGTTGAGCATGTCCAGCATCCATGCCAGCCCCGTCTTGTGCGTCCAACAGCGACCAGAGGACTGGATTTCCGACATCGCCACCTTCATCACAACGGGGGAGCTGCCCCCGGACGAGGAGAGGGCCAAACTTGCCAAACTCAGGGCCCCAAGCTACACCATCGAAGATGGCAAACTCTACAAACGGTCCTATAATGGCACTCTCCTCCAATGCCTGCACCAGGACGAGGCCGACACAACCATGGAAGAAGTTCATTGTGGCGTCTGCTCCTCACACCAGGGCCCTTTCAGCATGTCCCGGCGTCTCGTCGTCCAGGGCTTCTTCTGGCCGACGATGGCACGCGAATGCGCTGACCTGGCCAGGAAGTGCACCACATGCCAGGTACTCCAGAAAGCCCCTGGTCGGCCAGCTGTCAACTACGCCCCCGTCAGCACCGCAATTCCATTCTCCAGATGGGGGATTGACCTGGTCGGCCCCCTGCCCAGAGCCGCCGGGAATAACCGCTACATCGTCGTCGCCGTCGACTACTTCACCAAGTGGGTCGAGGCGGAGCCCTTGGCCAGCATCACAGGGGCCAGATGTCAAAAATTTGTTTACAAAAACATCATCACACGCTTTGGCGTCCCCTAGGAGATTATATCAGACAACGGCACCCAATTCGAGGCAGCCCCTTTCCAGGAGCTCCTCCGGGAGTTTGGGGTGAGGCATCATTTCTCCTCCGTTGCCTATCCTCAAGGCAACGGGCAGGTTGAGAACGCCAACAGAACAATCATGGAGGGGCTGAAGAAGAAGCTCCAGGCCGCAGGAGGTAATTGGGTCGACGAGCTCCCCAACATCCTGTGGTGTTACAGAACCACGCCGAGGAGGGCGACAGGTGAAACACCTTTCGCCCTATGCTACGGCTTTGAAGCAAAGGCGCCCACGGAAGTTGCCATCCCCAGCCAACGGGTGGTACAGTACGAGCCTGACGCCAACGAAGAGAACATGAAGATTGACCTACACCTAGTTGATGAGAGGCGTGAGCAAGCTTACGTCGGAGCAGAGAACTACCGGCGTCAAGTAAAATCATACTATGACGCCAAGGTACGTTCCCGGGAATTTCAGGTGGGGGACTACGTCCTCCGCCGAAGGGAAGCAAGCCAGCCGACAGAGGGTGGCAAGCTAGCATTGAAGTACGAAGGGCCCTACATCGTCAGTGCCGTGGTCAAACCCGGCACCTACAAGCTTAAACGCCCGAATGGGTCCAATGTACCACGAACATGGAATGTACACCATCTCGTGAAGTTTTATCAGTAATCCGAAGGAGGTGCAGACGGCGAAGCCCTCACCCCTTAACGGGTTACTGATTGAACGCCACCCTCGGCCTCGAGCCACTTATGAATAAAATCATGTTCTGATTTTTTCTCTGGAAATTAAAGTAAAACATTAGCAGGTGCCCCCGTCGGCCACCTTAGAGCGAAAGGCTCAGGTATGGCTGACATGGCCCCTTACATTTGCAGCCTACGAGCGACAAGCTCAGGCACTCCATTGTATTTTGTATCAGCGAAGGGCTCAGGCCTAGCTGAGAGAGCACATCGTCCTGGCCCCGTAAGCCTAGAAGTGAAACGCTCAGGTATGGCCGACGATGTCCCCAGGACGAGGGGCCCGCAAACGGCCCACGTCTTGAAACGGGAAGCTCACCGCGTCGTCCACATGCCAGATCGCAGGACGACAGGCCTGAAATCATGGCCGAGGTGACAAAATCCCAAAACTCAGGGATGGGCAACGACAGCCGTTGGAAACCGACCAAAAGTCTAGCCCGCGTCATAAATAGGCGACGGGACCCGCCCTGAGATCACGGACGTTATAAACGAAGTCCGAACCGGCCGAAGGACGAGCACACCCTTCGGCCGAAGCCTGAAAGAAGGATACTCCCCGAAACAAAAAAAAATATACACGGGAAAAAGAGGGAAGCCCACGGCCGCGCACACTAGCCGGCCTCGAGCAATGAAAAAATAAAATCCCCACAACTCAAGCCCAACTAGGCCAAGTACATATCAGTTGAACACAAGTGTAGTACCACTGACAGGTAACATGGACGACACGTCCACACACTACAAGGGAATGATCAAGGCCGAAACACACGCCTATAAAACCCTAACCGCATCGGTTGGGTGACACGCGAGAGGTGACCTTCATCGGCCATAGTCCTTTGAGGCACCGTAAGGCATCGCAATCCTGAGGATGACCAGGATGAAGCGGGCACTTATCACACCCGCGGAGGGATCAAGCAATCAAGAAACAACCTCTACTTGCCACAGCACCTCGGATGGCCGACAAGGCACTGGAACCAAAACTGTTGGTTAAGCGAAAGTCCTTTGGGAATCCGTTCAAGTGTTTACCAAACACTTGGAGAAAATCCTGGGAAAAAGAGGGTTCCTCAACAAGGAACCATGGCTGGCCGACGAAGGTAGGACCATCTCCTTGGAAAAGCCATTCCTTATCCAGCACCCTCATCGGCCACAAGCCAGACCTTGGCCGGCAGCGATACCGCAAAGAAGTAAATGCCTTACATCTGTACTTAGAAAATTCTCTAAGTACTTAAATGAAGGAACTCTAGACGAAGCGGGTACCTTTATACCCCAGGGCCGTTAGCTACCTACACCTCTGCATGTGTACTTAGAAGAATTCTAAGTTCAAAAGATCAGGGTGAAGGTGCCCTTCTCGGCCACAACACAAAGGATACAAGCCGACAACGACACTGGCTCAAACACTTGGGAAATCTCCCAGAGCATTTGTCAAAAATGATGAATCCAAGGCCAGGACGATGAGAACGCTCAGCCACTTGAAGTTAGAAACTTGGGAAAATTCCAAAAGATAAGAAAGCCAACGCCTGGACGGAGCGGACACCACGGTCAAGGCTGAAAAGGGAAGCACCTAAAGGGATCCAAAAACACTTAGGAAATTTTTGAAAAAATCCTAAGTGTTATGATAGCAAAGGAACACCGGTCAGGCCGACAAAGCCACCAGGCCGGAAAGAAAGCAACTTCGTGGATCCAAAAACACTTAGGAAATTTTTGAAAAAAAAATCCTAAGTGTTATGGTAGCCAAGAACCACCGGTCAAGCCGACAAGGCCACCAGGCCACAAGGAAGCAACTGTAAGAACCCAAAAACACTTAGGAAATTTTTCGAAAGAATCCTAAGTGTTATGATACTACATCAACACGGTCAGGCCGACCAAGCCACCAGACCGGGAAGAAGGCATCCAAGTGAACCCAAAACACTTAGGAAATTTTCTGAAAAAAATCCTAAGTGTTATGGTAGTAAAGCAACGACGAACAAGCCGACCAGACCACCGGACAGGGTGGACTACCCCATGGACGTAGCGGGCACTCGCGAGGTGACCCAAGTTGTGACCTTGACACTTAGAAAAAATTTCAAAATCGAAATGACAAAAGGCAAACAAGCATACAAGGGATTCAAAGCCGAGCAGGCCGGCAAAAATTTTTCATTGATAGTCAAGTTCATTACAATTGGGGGCGCTACGGCCGTTACATCATTTGGCAAAAATAAAAATTAACTACAAAGGAGTAGCCGATCAAGCCTCTGGGGCACCTCCATCTGCGGCTGGCTCTTCGGCCTCGTCGGCCCCCTCCTCGGCTTCAATCTCCTGGCCGGCAGCGGCCGCAGCGCTAGTGGCATCGTCAAGGAAGTCAAATTCAGTGTAATCCGGCTCGCCGAGGCCGGAGCTTTCAATAGGGGACTCCCGCTCCGACAAAGGAAGCTTGGCCTGCTCTTCTGGATCCTTCATCAGCTTTGGCAGCTTCAGGTTCCGTCTGGCCCACCCGGACGTGTAGTTCATGGCCTTCAACGCGCGGGACAGCCGCCGACACAGGAGCCTTTGCATCCGCTCCTGGCCCATGTTATAATACACGGCCATCTCTCTGCTGAAATACTCTTGGCTGGCGGGGGAGTTCATCCCCCAACTCTCAAGCCTGGCGGCCACCACCCCGTAGCACCCGGGAAGCCTCTCATCGGCCTTCCACCCCTCGGCCAGGAACTTCTCAACGGCCTCATCAGCAGCCCTCACAACGGCGGCCTCGGCCTCAGCTTTCGCCTTCACGGCCTCCTCGCTCTTGCGCCGCTCGGCCTCCAGCGCCCTTTAGGACTCCTCGAGCTTGGCCAGGGCATCGTCCCTGGCTGCAGCGTCTTCATCAGCCCTTGCCTGCAACGCCCTGGCATCCTCCCGGAGCCGATCCAGGCAAGCTACCGCCTCGTCGGCCGAGGCAGCCTTCTGTTCCAGCTCCTTCAAGCGAGCTATCTCCCGATACTGCCTTTTATGACTCTCCATGAGCATAAAGGCACTCTGCAGAACAAGGAAAACAATTCAGGCAAATGACTCTACACAGACGACGAGAAAGACAACACATAAGGAGAGTAACTTACTTGGACGAGGAGGTCCATGCCGCCCTCGTAAATCTTCACGTCCCCGAGCTTCTTTAAGTAAGCCCGATCTTTGGCCGGCATGGCCTGGGCCAGGACGTCGTGGCCAAGGACGACATCATCAAACACACCCCCGCTAACGGGGTATTCTACCATCTTCTGGTAGGTGGCACCGACAATCTCCTTTCCGGCCCTCTTCGTCCGGGGTTCCTGGACGAGAGGAAGCGAGGGAGCAGCATCGCCAGCAGCAGTAAAGTCCACGACGGGACCACCATCGTCCACGCTGGGGATAGTCAGAGTACCGGCCTCGGTAGCCGGAGAAGGAGAAGGTGCCCTCTTCGTCTTCTTGGAGACGCTCAGGTCGGCTTCAGTTAATTTTTTCTGGCCGTCAGTGACCGGCCTCTTCTTTTTCGATTGGGCAGGCTTTGGGGCCGCATCAGCAGTAGCCCCGCCCCCATCGGCCGCGGCACGTCTGGCCGCCTCGGCCGCCTTGGCTGCCAACTCCTCGGCCGCTTTGGCCTTGGCAATAGCCATTATGGAACGACGGTCCATGGCAAAATCTGCAAAGGAAAAACACAACAGATTAGTAAGGCAAAGGAACAGAACATAAAGACAGAAAGCCGAAGAAATAATTACCATCGGCCTCAGCAGGAATGCCCAAATCCGGGCCGTCGGCCTCTTCAAATATGGTGGTCATCCTCGGCCAGAGTTGGAGGTCATCCTCCGTATCGCCATACAGATGGTATCTGAAGAAGCCGAGGGCGGTCATCTTGTATTCAGTAACGTAATCCTTCACGCTCCTCGGCCCCCCTTCCAGGAAAGCCTCCACCTGAGCGTCCAAGATAGAGCTCTTCGGCGGGTCATGGAGATTGAACCTCTCGGTATGGCCGAGAGAGGGGAACTCTTTGCCACTCTCACCCAGGGATACGAAAACGAACTTACTCTTCCACCCATGGATGGACGAAGGCAAGTCCGTGAAGCTCCTCTTCTTCGGCAGCTGTTGAAGAGTAGCATAGGCCGCACAGTTCTTGTGGCTTCCTCGGCCGATCTGGTACAAATTCATGAATAGGGCCGTTGTCGGCCTGTAGCCCAGCTCCTCACACCGGAGTAAAAAGCCCACCATCAGGGAATAGCTGTTCGGCGTCAGCAAGGCCGGAGGAAGCCCTATCATGTCCAGGTACTCTGCGATGAAAGGGTGAAGGGGGAACCTCAACCCCTTAGCAAAACTCATCGGGTATACCCCAAAGTATCCCGGTGGCGGAAGAAGAACATGGTCCGTCGGCCTGGGTGCCCTAACCCGCCCGAACGGCCCCACGTACATCTGGGCAACAAGATAGTCGGCCGCACTGCTCTCCGGCTTGATCAAAAAGATATTGGTGAGATCCAGGTAGGAGATACCCGACCCATTCTTCGGCCTCCTCACCCTCTTCGGCTTAACTGCTCCCTTCACGGCAGACACCGGCCTCGGGCAGGGAATGACAGCAGAAGTGGACGCCCCATCCACCACTCGGGACGCACCTACATCCTCACCTTTTGAAGAGGAGGCAGACTCCTCGCCCTCGCCTTCCTCGTCCACCGGCTCTTCGGATTTGTAGGGACTTAAATGCTCTATCTCCTCCTCGAACTCCTCGAGCACCTCGTAGTCAAGTGACCTCGTGGAGGGCTGGTCGTCGTAGGGGTAGTAGTCTTCGTTCAAGCTCTTCATAACTACTACTACGGGCCTAAGGAGACTAACTTAAGATCTAAGGGTGTTCAAACGCCTAACACTAGATCAATAGTCTAGGAAGCAAAATATGAAAAGTGAGGAAGATCGTGATGAACACTAACCTTGAACAACGAAGAACACGAAGAATAAGCTTGGGAGTTTATCTCTCTAGAAAAATTGCCAGCACTTCGACAATTCAGAATGCAAATGTGGTTTCTCGTCGGAGGGGGAGGGGTATTTATAGAACCCCCCACCCAACGGTCACTACACGTGGCACCCTCCCAATGGCCACACCAACGGCCACCAATGGGGGGCCACCACGTCACCAACGGGCCAATCTACATATCAAGAGCCCAATGCCGGACCAGACTCTACGGCCCACACGCTTACCGGCTTTACAAATGCCAGCAAGCGCCCACAACGTCCCACTTGCTCGCCAAGATCACAACTGCCAAACAATAAGGAGACGGCAACGGACAGGAACGTAACGGCCACAGGACCAAAGGAGACAAGAGCCCACAAGCCATCGGCTCCTCTTCATGACCCTTGATGATAACTCTCTACAAGCGATCTGCGCACAAGGGTTCTCCCACAGGGTTACCTTGGCCAGAAAATCGCCATGAGGGTTGGATTCAGGGGGACTACGGAGAGGCCGCTTCGGCCAGGGACTCAAGCAACTCCTTCACCCCTCACACTCTTCGGCCTGAAGCAGTGGGGGACTGGGGGACTACACCGGCCTCAACAAAACAAAGAGAAAATGCAAAAAAGGTAACCACAAAGCATGGCCACATCGGCCATGTATCACACTGCGCCTCGTCGGCCAAAGGCACACAACGTCATCAGCAACGACCAACTGGCCACCTAAGGCAAGAACACTCATCGTCCTCCGCCATCACTTAATCACGATGGGCTCTTCGGCCAGGAACATGGAAGCCAATCAACGACGGCCAAAAGGAGTGCGCAAACACCCCCATCGGCCATCCAAAGGGAAAGACGCCATCGTCCTCGAAGCAAGGATCAACTTCAGTGGCCTCATCGGCCCAAACACAAACTTCAACCATCAACGCCCAAGCAAAACGTGCCTTTCAACGGCCACCATTGAAAGAAGGACACTCATCGTCCCAAAACGAAGACATCAAGTAAAACAACGGCCTCCCTGTCCACAACAAGGAACAGGTAACGGCCAAGGGCAACAAAGCATAGGAATCTACTCTCCTTCACTTCGTTTACGTCTCAGCTTAGAGAGTGGGGGATTCCTGATGGAGTATATGGGTCTGAGCCCCCGGACCCACATACTCGGAAGAACAGAAAGCATAAGACAACAAAGTGGCGCCCTCGTCGGCCATGACGCCCCCGTCGGCCGAAAGGGAGTCAACACAGATTATGGTCCTGAGCCCAAGGAACCCGAGTGCCCTCGTCGGCCGTGCCCTCGTCGGCCGTGCCCTCGTCGGCCACGCCCTCGTCGGCCACGAGGATCTCCCAGAACCGGATTTTATACTTATTCATTTGTACAGCCCATTAGTGGCTTTGTATTCGGCCCAGTAGCGGTCCAGTTATAAATGGGCCTCCCAAGCCCAATGCTTGGGAGCCCAGCCCGTATTTTATCTATAAATACTCCCCTTGGGAGTAGTTGTAGGGGTTCAGAATTCATTAATATCAGGCAAATATACTACTTCTCTCTCTAGCTCTCACTTCTCTCTATAGATATACTCTATCAAATATCCATGAGCATTAACGTAGTTTTTTTTAAACAGAACGGAAGAAGCACGAACCACGTCTTCTCCCCTTAAGTTTGAACCCCTAATAAACTTTGTTTATGACTCGGTCACTACATTCATTCAATATCATAAACATGCTGAAGCAGAGCGTGTTACCATTCTTTTGTGTAACATATTTTTAATGTGCAGTCTTCTTTTGGTATGCAATACGGCAATGTGATGGGTGAAGTTGCGGTGTTAATTTTTAGAAAGGTGACGGACTTGAAGCATTGCGCATAAGCAAATTGGAATGGAGGATTGACTTTTTTGACATCAGTGGAATGGGTTTGGAGTACTATTAATTAGAACTTGTTCCCAAAGCAAACCATTATTGAATTGCTTTAAATTCTCTACCTTTTCATTACTATAGTGATGGGTTTTTTAAAAGTTTTTGAGTTGGGGGTGTGAAGTTGTGCGAATAAAATCTCTACCTTTTCATTACGCACTCTATTATAAATAGCTAGCAGAGCCGGAGAGTAAAAGAAAAGTTGTATCATTTGAGTGAAGAGAGAAAATTAAAGCTAGGAAAAGAAGAGTTCAGATTGGTATAAACGTAAGGAAGAGGCCGGTGCAGTGAGGATATGGCAGCTCATGCAAAAAGCAGTAGCCCTTTTAACAAATTGGCAGGTTTGTTGAGTATGTTGTTTTGTTGATGACTAACCATGTAGGTGGAACGGCGGACAGAACTGCTCTCAGTTCTATTAGGAACGGAAATTAGAACTATACTTAGTTCTGATCTATGTGACTGATTGTTGTGCATAATGAATAAATTAATTGATATGTGCCTGCATGATAATACCTTATTTACGTGCCTAGATTGATCATGCATATTCTTAATGTATGTGGCACAATTTAAATATCTTTCCATGCATGACTAAGCACTCACCTTAATGAGTTGGCCTATATAGCTTTATAGCTTATGGAAAGAATCATTGCTTATGCTACATAAATATCCTGCATCAATTGACCGTAACATATTTGGATCCACTAAGTAAATATTTCCTTATCACTTAATGTTGAAAAGTCATTATTAGTTAAAGTATTAAATGAATATTTTTGGAAAGTATCTTGGCTTGCATGATCTGTAGCACCTTATTTGAATATCTTACTTATATGATCGTTGCATATTCAAATTTGTTAAGAGAACTAATCATTGATTGCATAAATATTTTATTGCTACATAATGTCCGTTGCATGCTTATATTAAGAGAATAAAGTATTTCCCTTTATATGTGATGTGGAATTGTCATTGAATATTTAAATACGTAATATACTCCATATCTTTTTTGTTATTGAGTGATTTACTCATAGTATGCACGTATCCACTTGCTTCCATATATATATGGTTGACCGAGGATCACCATATTTGTGAGCCGGAAGATCTTTGAATAAAAGGAAAGGAGAGGCTACGGATGCTATATATATTGGACTGAAGACCAGACGAAAGGGTGTGCTTGACCGAGCTTCTATTAAGAAATATACACGAGAATATTTACTAAGTCCAAGGCACCTGAACCTGCTCACGGAGTTCCAGACAGAGTTTCTTTTTCCCTTCTTCATATTGTAATTGGGTTTTTGAGGATTGACTAAGTGTAGCATCCTCGGGTTGATTAGTGTGTTGTGAGAGCTTTGTTGTAAAGCTGAGAGACTCTCTACCCACAAGGTAGAGAAGCATAACTCTTCCTAGAGAGGATAGAGTTGGGGTGGCTCAAGGGTAGACTAGGAGAGTTTCCCTTGTAATCATTCAAAGGCTTTTTAGTGAAGTTGTTCAAATTCCTCCGAGGGAGGTCGAGGTTTTTTAATCCCTTTGAGCCAAGGGATTTTTCCTCGTTAAATCCTTGTGCACTTTATTATTTCGTATTTCCCTGGACCCCACACTAGAACTGTGCGAAAAACTGCCACGGTTCCACACACACACAATTCACCCCCCCCCCCCCCCCCCCCTCTTGTGTTGCTAACCGTTTCATCAATTGGTATCAGAGCCGGTCTTCACCACAGAAAGGTTAAAACCTTGGGAAGAGATCCGACAGCATGAATACGGTTGAACGATTGGAGGATGGATACTCGACTCAACGACCACCGTTGTTCAACGGCAAATTTTATCAATTCTGGAAGAGTCGAATGGAGAACTTCATCAAGGCTGAGAACTACCAGGTATGGAACGTAATTGAGGTAGGCGATAACATCATTACTAAGGAAGATGCCGAAGGTAAGGTTATCCCTAAACCCAAATCTGAATACACCTCTGATGATTATTGTAAACTCGAGCATAATGCTCAAGCATTGAAATATTTGATTTGTGGACTTGGTCCAGCTGAGCACAACCGTGTTCTTGGATGCAAATCCGCAAAACAAATGTGGGATTTACTTGAGATTACGCATGAGGGTACCTCGCGTGTAAAAAGATCCAAAATTGACATATTTATGCGTAATTACGAATTATTCGTGATGAAGCCTAAAGAATCAATTAGGGATATGATTACACGTTTTACTAATATTATTAATGAGCTCTCAGCACTTGGAAAAGACATTACTGTAGAAGATCAGGTGAGAAAAGTTATGAGAAGCTTGCCATCCGCATGGAAGCCTAAAACTACAGCAATAGAAGAAGCTAAAGATCTCTCTACCATGACGCTAGAAGACTTGACCGGTTCACTCATGACATATGAGCTAGGCCTACAAGAAGAACAAGATGCAGAAAATGTGAGAAAAGAGCGAGGAATAGCTCTCAAGGCTCGAGAAGAAGAAGAAGAATCCGGAAGTGAATCGGAAGATGAAATGAGCATGTTCGCCAACCAATTCAGAAAGATGTACCGAAAATTCAAAGGCAACCGAAATAAACAAGGTAAAAAGGGCTTCCAATCTTTTAATAACCAAGGTTGTTTCATTTGTGGTTCCTTTGAGCACAGGGCAAAAGATTGTCCTCAAAAGAAAAATGATAGAGCCTACGACAAACACAAGACCAGTTCCCATCGGAGGTCTAGTGAAGATAAAAGGTTCAACAGAGACCTCAAAAAGGCAATGATGGCAGCCTGGGGAGACTCATCCGATGATGAAGAAGAAGAAGGAAAAGGCCTAAATCATGCAGGATTGTGCCTCATGGCTAATTCCGATGTAGAATCCGACCAAGAGAATTTCGAGGTAAATTTGGAGAGCTTTCTTTCTAAATTTGATTTCCTCTCTAAAGGCAAGTTCCGAAAGATTTTTAAAAGATTAACTATCGAACTAAATCAAAGTCTTTCTGAAAACGATAATCTTAAATCACAAATCACCGAACTTGAGTCTAAACTCGAGGAAGCCACTAGAGCCAAGATAAGACTGGAAACAAAAGTGGGAGATTTAATAGATGAAAGGCTCAAGTATAGTGAAGTGGTTTTGGAACAAGATAACCTCATTTGCTCACTCAAGCTCGATAATATGAATAAACAAGTTAATGACGAAGAAAAACTTCTAAGAAAAATTCCGGACATTGCCTTGCTCATTAATCATCTCAATCGCCTTGAGGACGAGAGACAGGATTTTAAAAACAAACCGGAATACCAACCATATAGTACCAAGGTAAGAACCAGGTCTAGACAACATTCTAGAACTGGACCCTCTTGGTACAAAAGAAAGGAAAACGAGACTGCTGGTCTCGGATACATTCCAAGAAATTCTCAAATAAATCAAAAACCGAGTTTTCAGAACCAACCCTTTTATGGTAATAGAACTAGAGGACAAACCCGTTCTAGACCGTACCATAGACAACCTAGAACTGGACCAACCTGGTTCGATAAGCTGGTTCAAAGGAACAAAACAGGTTATGGTCAAACACCTAACCGGGAGTTTTATAAAAGGGGCAAAGATCTTTTCGGAAATCGGAAAACCAAATATGTTGATACATATGACAGCCGGATTTGCGGACATTGTGGCAAAGACGAACATATTAGGTATCAATGTCACTCTCGACAACAGGCCTTAGAGAGAAGCCTTAATTTCAGTAAATATCCCTCAAACCAATATAAAATGGAACCCAAGCAGGTCTGGGTTCCACGCACTAAACCTTAATCCTGGAACATCGCCGAGTGAGGGGGAACAATCACTGGTTCCTTGACAGTGGTTGTTCTAAACACATGACCGGAGATAAATCTTTGTTCCTCTCACTACGGCCATTTAGTGGTGGAAAGGTGACATTTGGAGACAACAGCAAAGGAGAAATCATTGCTGTGGGGAAAATTTGAAAGTCACCCGACCATGCAATAGATAATGTTTTCCTAGTCAAGGGTCTAAAGTTTAATCTGCTTAGCATTTCTCAGTTTTGCGATCGAGGTAACAGTGTAGTTTTTGATCATAATGTATGCCGCATTGTCAATAACGAATCTCAGCAAGTCATACTAGAAGGCAAGAGACTTGAAAATACATATAAAGTTGATCTCGACTTATTGCCAAGTATAAGTTTAACCTGCCTAAACGTTATTGACAATGATCCCCTACTCTGGCATAAAAGATTGGGCCACGCTAGTTTTTCGTTAATCAATAAACTCAAAAATAATGAATTGGTAGTCGGGCTACCTAAAATCAAATATTCCCTTGATCATATTTGCTTTGCTTGTGCCACCGGAAAACAATCTCGATCATCTTTTAAAACAAAGAATTTTGTGAGCACAAGCAAGCCCATTGAACTAATTCATATGGATTTGTGTGGTCCAATGTCAGTCCGAAGTCGGGGAAACAAAGAATATGTGTTAGTTATTGTTGATGACTTTTCACGATTTACATGGACTATCTTTCTTGCAAGTAAGAAAGATACGTTTAATGAGTTTGTTGTTTTTGTAAGGAAAATTGAGCATCAAACAGGGTTGCACCTAATTAAGATTCGATCCGATCATGGAACCGAGTTTGACAACTCACTATTTGAGGAATTCTGCAAAGAACGAGGCATAGACCACAACTTCTCCGCTCCTAGAACTCCTCAACAAAATGGGGTAGTAGAACGGAAGAATAGGACACTGGAGGATATGACTAGAACAATGTTGATTTCTAGTGGTCTGGCAAGAAACTTCTGGGCAGAAGCACTTAACACAACGTGCTACATAATTAACCGAGCTATGATCCGCCCACTCCTAGGAAAGACACCCTACGAACTACTCAAAGGAAGAAAACCAAACATCAGTCATCTAAGAACATTTGGATGCAAATGTTTCGTCCACAATAATGGGAAGGACAATATTGGCAAATTCGATGCAAGAAGTGACGAGGCAATCTTTCTCGGATATACCACTCACAGCAAGGCTTACAAAGTTTTAAATAAACGAACTCAATGTGTGGAAGAAAGCATCCATATAATTTTTGATGAACCCCTTTCATTAAATCCGAGGCAAGATGATGAAGGAGACATAGGAATCCTCCGCAAAGAAAATCACTCCCATGAAAACGTTGAAACAATCCATGAACAAACTGAGGAATCACTGGACAATGAACAAAACGAACCTAGAACTGAAGAAGGACCCGGACTGACCACGACTAGTCCAAGTGAAGAACCAGCTGGTCCAGGTCCAGATACCCTATACGAGTTTGTGGATCAACCCAACGCTCCAAGAGGATGGAAGCATCATCGATCACATCCCCTGGATAACCTCTTAACAGATCTAAATCAGGGAGTAACAACGAGATCTAAATTAAGAAATTTCTGTACTTTCTTTGCTTACTTATCACTTATAGAACCGGAGAACCATGAAGTGGCTCTCTCCGATATTGACTGGGTTCTAGCTATGCAGGAAGAACTAAATCAATTTGAAAGAAACAAGGTGTGGCATCTAGAACCAAGACCCAAGAATAAAACCGTAATTGGTCTCAAATGGGTATTTAAAAATAAGCTTGATGAGCACGGACAGATCACAAGAAATAAAGCAAGGCTAGTCGTCAAGGGCTATAATCAACAAGAAGGGATAGATTTCAATGAAACATTCGCACCGGTGGCAAGGCTAGAAGCAATCCGAATGCTCATAGCGTTTGCGGCTCATATGTGTTTCACCCTCCACCAAATGGATGTCAAGACAGCATTTTTGAATGGTTATCTTAAGGAAGAGGTATACGTTGAACAACCACCGGGGTTTGAAAATCCAGATTTACCTAATCATGTTTTCAAACTAGACAAAGCACTGTATGGGCTCAAACAAGCACCACGTGCTTGGTATGAACGTCTATCTAAATTTCTTTTGGAAAATGGTTTTGAAAGAGGAAAAATAGATAAAACACTTTTTCTAAAAATGAAAGATCAATCCCTCTTGGTTGTTCAAATTTATGTAGATGACATTATATTTGGTGCTACTAACGACTCACTTTGTGATGAATTTTCTTCTCTCATGAGCTCCGAGTTCGAGATGAGTATGATGGGCGAATTAAATTTTTTCCTTGGTCTCCAAATCAAACAAACAAGTAAAGGAACTCAAATATCTCAACAAAAGTATCTCAAGGAGCTTCTCAAGAAGTATGGAGCAAGTGAAGGCAAAACAATGACAACACCGATGGGAACAAATGACAGGTTGGATGTAGACGAAGCAGGAACCAGCATAGACCAAAAGAAATACCGAGGAATGATTGGGTCTCTACTATACTTAACTGCCAGTAGACCCGACATAGTTTTCAGCGTAGGTCTATGTGCCCGGTTCCAGGCAAATCCCAAGGAATCTCACCTCAAAGCAGTCAAGAGGATACTCAAATATCTCAAAGGAACTATGAATCTGTGTTTATGGTATCCACGTAATGAGGATTTTAATCTTATTGCATATTCAGATTCTGATTTTGCAGGTGATCTATTAAACAGAAAAAGCACATTTGGAACTGCTCACTTCCTAGGTCCTTGCCTGGTTTCATGGAGCTCTAAGAAACAAAACTCAGTTGCTCTTTCAACAGCCGAAGCCGAATACGTAGCAGCCGCATCGTGTTGCTCACAATCCTTGTGGATCATGCAACAAGTAAGTGACTACGGGTTCATCCTAAATTGCACACCAATTCTATGTGACAATACTAGTGCAATCAGCATCTCAAAGGATCCGGTCATGCACTCACGAACAAAACACATCCACATCCGGCATCACTTTCTGAGAGATTGCGTGGAAAAGGGGCTAATCAAGGTAGAATATTGCAACACCGACAAGCAAATTGCCGACATTTTTACAAAGCCCCTGGGAAGAGAAAGGTTTGAATTAATTCGACTTGAACTTGGTCTCATCAATGCTTAAAACTATTCTAATCCATGCAATTTTTTTGGGAAACAACCTAAGGAGAAATTCTTTATTTTTTTTTTAAAAAAAAGGGAAGACAAGATCCTTTCAGTTTTTAAACTGCCAATTTTGTTTTGGGAAGACACTGCCACACAACCGGCCACTTCATATTTGGAAGGAAATCATTAAAGATTTTTTGGGAAGTGGGAAAGTATCCCGTATACCAACACGCCGCCCACTTCCAAAATAAAAAACCTTCCATAACCTCCTCCCTCTTCTCCTTCTTAAAACCGCCATGGTCAAAACCAGAGGCTGCGCTCCTCCAACTGCTCCTCGTCGTTCTAGCCGGAAAAGAAGCGTACAACCACCCCCACCTTCATCACCTACCCCGATTGAACTCGAAGCCTCACCTCCTTCGACCATGCACTCCGAATCTGGTGACTCCTTACCACCATTCCCGGCGTCCTCTCAGGGGGAACAAGATAAAGACTCTCCATCACCAATTAAACCTCCAAAAGGAAAACCACCAACTCGCGACGGAAAGGTGCTGCCCCAAAAGTACACCCGGAAAAGAGCAATCGCTGAGGGAATCATCTCCGAAAAGGGCTCCACCAAAAAATATCCAAGGATGGAGAAGGTAGTCAAGGAAGACGCCGCACGACTCAAGGAGGAATACCTCTCCCGGGGAATAGTTAAGGTACTCTCCATCTCCTCTGGTGATATTACTCGAAAAACCTCTGATTTTACTGAGCTTATTTCATTCCAAAAATGGGAAACCTTGTTTGATTCCCAGAATTGCCCCTCTGTGTTTCCTGAACTCATCTCAGATTTTTTGGCTAATCTTATTATCAAAGACAGTTTCTTATCCT